CTTCGAGCTTCATGGGTACCCGAGGTTATTCTCAAGTAGCACAGTGCCTGTTTACCTTGATTTTTTTTTCCTCATCTGCAGCCGAGAGTGAAAAATTTAGCCTCAAAGTTTGTGACTGACAGGAAAACTGGTTTTTTTTTATTATTATTATTATTTTTCATGCCTTCTAGAAGCCCTGACAGTTGCATTAGAACACAGGCATCCCTTGCAGAGGAGGATAAATGACTCATGGGTGGAGCACCTGCCCAGCCACAAACTAAAAATTCCATTCACGCTCTGATTCTGTTGTTTATGCTGATCTCTCACGGCAAAGATATTTCAGTACCGATTGTCGAAAGAGATTGTTGAGAATCTGTTTCAGAACAGATTGTTAGGCTGAATGTGTAACGATTTCTCTAACCTCACCTTTCAAGAAGTTTGTAGTTTTCAGAATACTTCTCTCAAGCAAAGGTTTTCAGAGTCACAGGCCAGCTCAAGGTGCGAATTTTGCAAATATTAAGCAAAAACAGTTTCGAGGGTTTTTTTGCATAGGAAAAATTCTTCCTTCTGTTACTAAAAGTATATTTTGTGATTTTGTGCAGAGCTTTAGCACCAAAGAGTTAAGCTTGAAATTCAGTGCAGAAATAGCCCCTGTTGAGGAGAAGTACCTTTGAGTATTCTGTAGAAAATTTGCTTTTAATTTAACCAACCTTCAAGCATATTTTGAAAACTACTAATAATTTTTCTGTAAGTTCCTAAAATTCACAGTTTGTGAAAGTTTTATTCTGCGCCGGTGGAAGAGCTGGATAATTCAGTGAAAAACCTGCTGAGTAAGTTTAGGAATGATACATCAATTTGGTAAAGGGCCAAGAGAAGGGTGTGCTGGGAGGCACCTCCCATACTGCACGGTCTCCGAAGATTTCCAGAGTAACGCTTCCTCTGGCACACAAGAGATGTGAGAGGTAGGAACCCTGGTATTACATGGTATTACATGTTCAAATATAATCACAGGTATGGACTTACCTCACCCTGTCACTACTTATCCTGTGTAGCACAGCTCTGGCTTCTTAAAGCATGTTTTTTTACTTTAGAAAGTTTCTCCTGGAAAGGAGTACTTGTTTAGTGAAAGTTTAAAGCTGTGTCATCTCAGCTCTGCCCTGTTTGCCTGGGAGCACACAGAACCCAGGCTTCAAACTCCCAAAAACATGCTGCTTCTCCTCAGGAAGAAACTCTTCTCAGCAGAAAGTTGGGACCGTCTTTGAAACACAGAACATTGAGAAAACTATAAAAGTTTCCCTTCATTGTTTCATTGTCAATATCTTGCAATTTGGTAAGATAATTCTATAATTGTGTCCTACCAGTGAGATGATATTTGTCTTGAACTAGAGATCTCGACCCTGAAGTTTGCTGTGGGGTATGAAATTAGATAAACCCTGGGTATGGGTGGAGTTCACTATAAGTTAACAGCATTTGCTGTGGTAAACCATTTTGTTCATCATCTCTTTTTGCTGAAGTGAGTCCTCGGTGTGGTTTGGGTGCACCACTTGGGTAACTGCTGAAACTGCTGTGGTTTCAGAATAGGACCTGTTTTGCTTTTTTCTGAACTTTTTTCCCCTGAAACTATTAGCAGAAAAAAAATGAAATAAGGTGCGGGTTACAACTGTTTGCCTGCACTTTCGTACGGCCATACCTCAAAAACGATGAGCAGTATCACATAAAAATGTAACAGTTCCCAGTGAATATAAGATTAATGCAATCTCAGTTGCTGCTAAGTGCCTATTTTGCAATATTACAATTTTACCAATGTCCTTCAGTTCAGTTGGTGACCTTTTAATGCGGTTTAGGTATTTTTGCTTTACAGTTATAGAAATACTGCATTTTATCATAGAATCATAGAATGGTTGGAGTCAGAAGGGACCTTAAATGTCATCAAGTTCCAACCCCCCTGCCATGGGCAGGGACATCTCCTACTAGAGCAGGTTGCTCCAAGCCCCATCCAACCTGGCCTTGAACACTTCCAGGGATGGAGCAAATTTTCACATTCTTGACACACTAAATGTGGGAATACAAAAATCTTTGTGTACTTAAGTAGGTACTTAGTGCTCTGGGAAATTCACACTGAGCGTAAGCCAGCAAGGAAGTCAGGAAGGTAATTCTGGTGCTGTTATTACTAATTTGTGGTTGATAAATGAGTAAATTTGAACATCTAACTGAAAGAAACAAACTTCTGCCTGGCCTCAAAACGGTGTTTGCTGAGTGTGGCGGGATAAAACAAACTGTAAGCAGAGACCAAAGTGCAGTGAAAGAGGGTTCCTTGAGGACTCTGTCATGAGTGCCAGGATTGGAGTATTCAGCCCTTAAAACTGCTCTGCAAAAAGCAGACCTAATTTTAGAAGGGTCACCCTCTTTCGCCTTTTCTTCAAAATAACAGAATTAAAGCCCTCTTCTATTCTGTAATATACAAAACCTGAAGAAAATAGCATTTAGAACATAAAATGAAAAATTTCAGTATTATTAGCAGTAACTTGAGTATTCATGGTGACATTTCCTCTGCAGCAAAGTTGTTCTTTGTGATCTTCTCTGAAGCTGAATAAGGAGAAAGATGCTCTTTGAGTACGTTCCGAAACCACTAGGGGCTTCGTGCAAAAAAACATTAAACGGGCCACCTAGAAAAAACAGGTTTGCTCAACAAATACGTTGCAAACCCTGCGTTTGTATTAACAGTTGCCAATTCCACAGGGTGGTTTCGGCAACGGAAGATTTAACCAAAGAAAAGGGCAGCTTCAAATGGGTTGGTTTTGCCTCTCTCAGTCAAAATTGGTTTGGGGCACTATGGGGGCAATAGAGGAAGGAGGAAGATGATGTAGATGGCTCTTGTTTTGCCTTGACCTTAAATTAGAAATACAGATCCTTTAATTCTCTTTGTGATTTAAAATAATTTGCTCTTTTATCTGGAGAATTACATACGAAAGGCTGAGTTACTCATCTCTGATGAGGTTTGTGTAGTCCCCTAACACTGGTAGCTGTGACTGAAGGCGAGATCTCCTGAAGGCCATGGGGATGCTTGGGAGGTAAACGTCGCACCCTGAGACCAAAACGTGGCCTCTGTTGGTAGGAAAGGCAGTTTGGAACTGGTGAAGGAGGGTCCATGCCTGTGGGGAGAGCAAATGTTGCTGGTATTTCCTGCATATTTTGTCGCTTCCTTCCACGAAGGACAAATCACTGGGCTGATCTGCCTGGCTTTAGAAGTCCCACATGTGGTTTCCAATATGGATATCCATCTGGCCTTGCCACATCTGTTAACCAGGATGGAGCACGGACTGAACCGTGAAAAATAGAATAGGAGTGAACTTTAAGAGATCTCGTTTATCCTCCAGCTTCAAGGCTGTTCAACCAGTGTGATTTCTAGACACCATTTCTCAAACCTCATGGACATGGTGATGGAAGACAACCAGTTCCCCGGGCAGTCTTGAACATTCTGAACTTCTAAAAATGTTACAGATTGTCTGGTTTAAATCTCTCTTGGTAAAATCTAAATCCACAAAATGCCTTTTTCTTGATGAGAGATGTACCTACAGGGCTATGACCAGGTTCCCTTGGAATACTCTTAAGACTAAACAAAACCAGTTGTATCTCCAGCTGCAAGTGTCTTGTCTTCTGCACCTTTCTGTCTGCTCCTTCAGCTGGGGACTGTCCTGCTTCACGTTTGCCTTGAAGCACGGTGCCTGCACGTGGTCACTGTATTGTGTCCAAACTCCAAGCCTGATGTTATTGCTCCTGGTTATTTACTTAGTCCACGTTTGCTGATCTTCATTCCTCTTTGACAAATGAGGATTTCCACAGCTTTGAGTGAATATCCTAAAGTTCATGAGCAACTACCAAAGCTCCTTCTTAAAAGCCATTGGGTTATGTCTTAGACACGCCAAGCACACGCTCTGAAATTTGGGGGTTCAACTCCATTTCTCTGTGCTTTCATAGTATGTGTATCCTGATGGGAATAAACTATAAGATTCCTATTAAATTATAGTTCAAAGAATCGGACGTTTCACAAAAGATAGCATTATTAATGCAAATAATGGATGTAATTCAGGTTATTATGCAGGAAATTGTAAGTATTTGTTTCTTTTAAAAATGTTTCTAGATCTTCCGTTATCATTTGTCAGTTACACATTATAATCAGGACTGTTCATCCAAGGAGTATTTTCCCTGGAGGCTAATTGTGTACCTCTCAGGAGCAAACTTTTTTTTTAAAGAGGAAAAAACCACCTGCATTTATCTGTTTAGCTATTTGACCTAACAAAATAGTACTTTTTGCAAGGGGAATTGAAGATTGAGGTTCTAATTGCAACAAATAAAATATACAGCCATTATTTATGAGCATCCACAATAGTTCTGTGATTTCATTTGCTGTTGGGGTGGAATATAAGAAGCAGGAGTCACCTACAAGAGGTGGGTTTCATGGCGATTGCCCCAGAACAAGGTGACTTCTTAATTGGTCTCTTTTCCCTTGTACATGTGATGATGGAAGGATAAACAAGTCCCAGGAAAAAAACCAGAATGCATGCATTCTGTAAAGTCACAGTTAAGTTACTACTTAATTCTATTTAATGTGATTAATTATTTGTCTTAGCGATATGTATATTTAATTATTTTGTCTTTTATATGATTCCAGACTTTAACTTGAAGTATCTCTAATCCTGGAAAATGAACTAAAGTCATGCTTGTCAAATTTTTCTGAGCAAATGTCTTTATATTGGGGTTTATCACTTAAAATCTTGGTGGTATTAATATTGCAGTATGTATAAGATAGATAATAAATCCATTTAAATAAAACAATAGTTTGAGATTATTTGCATTGAGAAATGAGTACAATTATGGTTTTAAACCACCCCAGGAGGAATGGATGGTGCTAAAGTGTTTCAGCAGTTTCCTATGTAAGGGGGTTGCATTGTCCATGGTAAGTAACTTCTCTTTTTCTCCTTTTGTTTTTGTTTGTTTTTTTTTTTTCCTAAACTTTCCAGGTAAAAGTACTCCTGTAAGCCACCTGGGGTCTTCAGATTTTCCCAAGCCCCATGATCCATTCCAGCCATTTGGGGCTGACAGCAGTGACCCGTTTCAAAGTAAAAAGGGGTTTGGGGACCCATTTAGTGGAAAAGATCCATTTGCTCCCTCCTCTTCAAGTAAAACTTCTAAAGACTCTTCCTTGGGGTTTGCAGACTTCAGCTCTGTAAGTTAAGTTCATTGTCTCTGAGCAAACCACTTTCTGCTCTGCTTGCAGCAATCTGTTGGGGTTCTGGTTTCACTGCAAACCTCCTGTTCACTGGCTTCTGTCTCTCAGTACCTTCATGCTGTCCTCGTTGTTTTTGTATTAATATTTCTGTAATAAAAAGGCATTATTTCAATAAAAAAAAACACCAAGAAGTTTCGTACTAAATTTTAAAGGGTTTACTTGCATTTAAATTATTTTAGTACAGTGTGCCTTTACTCACAAATTCTTTGTAGCCCAACCTGTGTATTGTTTCTGTTGCATGGAGGCTATTTTGTAAACTGATTTTTGGGAGCCAATGATGTAAAGATTTCAAAACCAATTGTTGAAAACCTTTATATGATAGCAATTTCACCATATCCTGAGAAGCAAATCCTTGAAGGGAAAGATTCCGTAAAGTATTTGTAATTGTTTGTGAAACAAAAAACAACAAAAAAAGGTCTGACAATCCTGTCACAATGTTTGCTGTATGCGATGGAATGTGGTCATAAAGGTACGAGGCAGAAATTGCAAATTTAGCTGCTGAATTTTGTTCCAGTTACTGCTATTGTAGAAGAGCCCTTGTTAGACAAAGAAAACAAAATTGTTTTGTAGAACCACTGGAGAAACGTCCATCCTGCACTCCAAAAGACAGTATCAGAAGGTATGAAGGCAAAGCCAAGTTCATTTAAAAAAAAATAGGAGGGTTTCTGAAAGCCTGGCTTTGTTTTTTAGTGCTGGCAGGTTCGTTCCTGAGTTGGAAATCCTTGTAAATGTAGTAGTAGCTTGGTTCTTGCTGCTTCCAGGAGCAGATAGAAATCTGTTCCAGCCACAGCCTCAGGCTTCTTCCTCCTTTCAGGTGTTTCTGTTCTGTTACTTTGCCAGGCAGTAAAACTGCCAACTTAATCTGTTCCCTAATTCTGGTGGACACAGTTCAGTGTTCAACGAGTGGAGATCTTTAAGCTGAATCTTTCAGGTTGCTTATTTTTACTGGTTTGTTGGGGTTTTTTTAATCCCCTAGTTATTAGTTAATAGTAAATGTGTATCACTTTGCTATTGTTAGTCGAGGTCATCTGTGCATACTTTTAGCTGGCCTCAGGGCTTTAATTTATCAATGATCCTGAAGATGTCAAAGTTGGAGACATGATGTATGCTTTACCACAGTCAGTACTAGCCTGTTGCATTTGCACAGTTAAATTCTGTGATTGTATACAAAATGGTGACATTCTTAATAAAAATAAGACGCAAAACTCGCTTTATCTGAAATTTCTTGACCATCTAATTTCTTCCCTGAGTGAAAGACAAGTGATGTACTGATTTTTTTACCCAACTGCTCTCGTCTCGCTTTACAGACTGCATTTCTTAAAAATGTGGCTCACACTGAGGGGTTCTACTGAGTGATTAAACCCAAATCTCTGCTGCCCAGCCCAGCGGGTGCTCTGCTGGTGAATTTGCTGTGCCATCAGGTTTTCAGGAGATGAGATTAACTTTAGAAAATAAGGACGAAGCAGGAAAAATGGTATTTTGAGCAGTAGCCAATTGTAATTACTGCCAGGTGGCACTTCAGCCAATGGAATTAATTTTAATTGGTTTTGTGAATTGCTTTCTATTGCTGTAAGAAAAAAAAAAAAAAAGCATTAACTGAATTTGACTGAAAAGAGACTTGATCCCTGTTCTTTTTCTATATTTATATTTTGCTTGCCTGTACCACAATTCTGTTGCTGCACTTGCTAATCCCTAATCCTGGAGGAAGCCCTAAGGGTACTAGTTACCTTGTAATCAGCAAGAATATTGTGCTTGTCTCTGCCCAATGTTTGGGGAAAGTCTGCTCATAATGGAAATGAAAATCAATTTTACTTATAGAAGGTTTCCTGACACGTAGTTTTGAGTCCATGGAATCTCAGAACAGAATCACAGGATCGTGTAGGTTTGAATAACTGAATAACCTGATTTTTTTGATTGGGATTCTTTACTGTTGCAAAAAAGTAACACGGAATAACTGAATAACCTGATTTTTTTGATTGAGATTCTTTACTGTTGCAAAGAAGTGTAACACAAGAACCTTCACTAGGTTTTAATAGCCCTCTAGAAAAATTGGCTTTTTTTGAGACACTGGCAAATTCATGCACCCAGAGTTTATGTATATTCTCATTGCATTCTTAACTTTTCCACTGGCATTAAATCTGACTCTTTGGAACAAAATAAAGCCCTTTGGTAGCTCAGATTTCAGATATTTCTAGGTTCCAGCTTCAGTTTACGGAACAACAGGAAAAGCGATTTTGCTGCCAACAGAAAGTGTTTAAATTTCCAAGAAACAGAGCACTTAGAACTAAATGTAAATTTTTCTCTTCATCTGAGCTGGTAGTTTAGTACACACAAGCCAGTGTAGGTTTTTGTGTATTTGATTGGTGTGGCTGCAGGCTGCTGGTTTCCGCAGTTATGCCTCGGGTCTAATTGTACCTCTGAAAAAGAGGGGAAAAAAAAGGGGTTTCTAATGACTTGACAGATATTTGATACATATTTATAGACTTCTTGAAACCTAGACATACGCAAAGAAATTGTTATTGTCTGAAATGACTTGTAATTCAGTTATGTTGCCTTTTTATAGACTGTGCAAGAACCAGTGAGATTAATGAACTGCTGTTTCTCTATCTCCTACGCTCCCGAAAATTTCGCTTTATGCTACCCATTTGTAATGAGGCACATCCAGATTTGTTTCCAATGAATCACTTGCCTATTTTCCTTTTGTTTTTTCTCCTTTTTTTTTTTTTTTTTTTTCTTACTCAGCACTTCTAACCACAAAAATATAACTTGTGTTCCATAAACAAGTCGCAATTGGGACTCTCATAAGCTTTGGAAGACTTATCCTAAGATGTAAGCTATATAAGTAAAACTGTTTTCTCAACATTTGAAAAAGCAAACAACAAAAAAAAAAAAGATGCCCCACAGGGTTTGACCAAAGCTTTATTGTATTTCTGAAAATAGTAACTGTTATTCTCCCTCCCAGCTATATGGTCTTTTTGAATTCTTGGAATCAGTGGAGAAGTCCTCCTTCCCTTTGAATCCGTCTTTATCTTGAAAAAAATAATCTCTTTAAAATCTTAATGAGCTTTTAAAACTTACCTGTCAGCTGACATTATTTAAATGAGTAACGACAGCAAGTTTTCTTCATTTTAAAAGTAAAATATCATAAAATGTGTGGCACCTACTCTATTTCAATAACATCGAATGCAAAGGTCCTCATCTAAATTTTTAATAGCGATGAAAGCAGAGCTATTGTTTGAAGAAAAGTAATTTTAAAATAGTCTTCTTTTTCTTGCATCAAACCATCTGAAAAATCATATTGAGAGAAATAACATGAGGAATTGTGAGCATCGAGAAGCACATGGATAAAGCACAATCTAATGAAATGATGAGTAAATGAGAACTGGGCTTGGGTGAAAAGGAGTTCAAATAGATGCATTTATTTAAAAAATCTGAAACTATAGATAGAGTGCAGGGAGGAAAAGCCAGGGGAGGGGGCCATCAGGTAGTGTATGGGCAGCAGGGCATAGGGATAGTGCTTAAAATTGCATTTATTACCCCCCTTTAATATTTTAAGCTTCCCTGGGAAGGTGCAGCCCTATCGGCTGCTGCAAAGGTGGATTTTGCCATGTTCGGAGTTGTTCTGCAGTGTACATTCAGCTGAAATTGAAACTATAAACTCCATGTAGTTTTCTCTTCAAAAAAAACCCAAAAAAACCCCAAACCCCAAATAATAGGTTTTTCCTGAACGTTCAAAAAAAGATAGCACAAAGCAAATTTTAGAAGCGGGATATAATGTGAACATTTGCATGCAGCTGTGCGGATGCTTCTGTTAACATCATCCTCATTTAGAGAATGCTAAAATTAAACAGTCCCGGATTATATTTTAGTTTTAAATTGTTATGATTTTGAGAAAAAAATATTTTAATATCTTGTGCAAAAAGTGCAAACAAGGGAACTTTTGCAGACTTCAGCTGGAATATAATTTTGGAGCCGTTTTGCTGCGGCGTATTTAAATGTGTTTCGGGAAGCTCAAGCAGGCTTAGAATGTGAATGTTGCAATGTGTTATATTTCCTTAGTGTTTTCTGCTGAAGCAAATTGCATTCTCTTACATTATTTCTTACTGGAAAAATTCTGTATGTATTTTAGAAACAGTAACAGAAGCGCTTGTTGTAACTTTTGATTTGGTGACGAAACTTCCCGCAAATCAGCACTTTCCAGGGTCATTATTGAAACCCCTCACCCTGAGCAGGAAATCCTACAATAAAAGTCTCTGCCATGGAGTTGCACAAGAGTAAATAACTCTCGGTTTTACCAGTTATTTACTATTCTTAAAAACGGCTGCAAAGTTGCCACGCTCCCAAACCACTGACTTGCTTTGTTTGGGTGCGTGGAGTTGTTGTTTGGCCCCAGACCCCTGGCTTTTTTCATACCCAACTGAGAGATGGATGCAGGGATGTGCAGCCCAGATGGGTTAGTTTCCTGGTGGGAGGAGGAAGAAATTAAGGAAATAAATTAAAAGATGAAGTGAGGAAATCAGTGAGTGAATTTCTACCTTAATCCAGAAGAACTGCCCTGAGACAGTTTGGTGTGCTTGATTCGTATATTTAATAAGTTTGATTTGTTGTATTTTTTCACGTAATTTCTTCTAGAATTTTGGTAAATTTATTAATTGCTTTTCTGTTTTCTATTATTTTTTTTTAGTTTGGAAATGAAGAGCAGCAGCTGGCGTGGGCAAAGCGAGAGAGTGAAAAAGCAGAGCAAGAAAGACTCGCTCGGTTGCGGAGACAAGAGCAAGAAGACCTGGAGCTGGCTATTGCCCTCAGTAAGGCTGACATGCCAAACTCCTAAATGCAGGTTCTCTGCCTCCACCCTGTCCGAGTGAAACCTTTACCCGTGGCTTTTATAAAAATAACTAAATCCTTGGTTTATGTTGTGCAAAAATTTTAGTCACCTTCAACTCTAAAGGAGACTGGCTGGTTACGTCAAACTGGGCTCTCTGTGGCTTTTCAAAGTGCATCATATGCAGGAAACACTGTATAAGCTGTATTATATGTTCTAGATAAAAATTTATTGCTTGTAAGAAATTTAACATATGATCCTAAGATACTGAAAGCAAAGTTTCTTTATCTAGAAGACAATGTTGCATATAGTAAACTGCAACTTGTGAATCTGGCTTTTTATTACCCGAATTCCATTGATTTTTTTGAGGCTGCAGTATGAATTTCGAAGAAAATGTCATAAAAAGATAATATTTCTAGGATTAGCTTTCACTCGTTACGTTTATTTAATAATTCACAGTAGGCTAATCAGTATGTCATCTGCATCATCTATGCCAAGTCTTCAGCATAAATCCATTATTAGATGGTCCCTTTTTATCCAGGAGATGAGGCTTTTATAAAAGCATCTGACAATTTCTATATGATGAATACAAAATAGTGAACTGTGTAAAAATATTACAAATTCAAAGCCTCGATGAATGAGTAGTTCAGATTTAAACACTTGCTTGCATTGAGTTTTAATAATTAAATGTGATGCTGTAAAAGAGGGAGTTCATTCAGTTGTAGTAGATTGGACAAATAATTTGGCAGTTAAATCATTAGGTAAAATCATAAAATCTTGCTTTCTCTCTTAAGCAAACGCGATGGCAGGACTGGGATACCAGCCTGAGTGCTGCTGTTGGGTCAAAAAAAGCGATGGAGAAGTCAGGGTTTGAGCAGTGTTTGTCCCCACAGCTCCTCGGACCTTCTTTTGCTCCAACCACCAGAACGTAGACCCTCTTCTTTGTGTTCCCCCATTGACTGTGGGAGAGTCTTTACCTCTATTTCTTGTATTCCACCCACCTTCTATTTCTGGGGTTACAGATCAAACGTAATTTAGCTGAAATAAGGCCAAGCTCAAACAGATTTTGCCAAATTACACGTTCAGGTGTAAGTTCTGGAAGTGCTGGTGGCTGGGATTGGCTTTGGACCACGGCTTGTGGTTGTGAGCCCAGGTAGGAACAGATTTTATATATCCCTGCAGAACTCTGTGCTTCCACCTGGTCAGGATAACACAGAGCGTGTTTTACACCTCATCTATACAATGAGTCCTTACGATAAATCTGTGAATTATTTACTTACTAAAAATGCCTTTTCTGATTACAGGAATTCTAAAACTTCAGTTGTCTTTGCCTTGGACTTTTATGGCTACATAGAATAGGCATCTAGCCCAAAAATTTTAAAAATGTCTTTAATGTATATCTGCTTTCCTATCCCTGGCTCTGTAGGAATACAAAGCTTAACAGTCTGATGCAGCCCTTATCTTAAAACGTTTTCTCTATTTTTTTTGAAAATGTGGTATTCCTTCACCATCTTTAATATTTTTTTATGTCCTCGCATCCTTACTTTTATTTTTCATAATACAAAGATAGTGCCTGTTCACTGCTTGAAAACAATCTTTCCCCGTTCTGTTGTAATTGCCTTATTCTGGAAGCTTCCCTCACACAGAGATGAGAATCAGATTGGGTCATTTTCATCTTCTTAGTAGTTTTTCAGCTCTGAAGGGCAGCTCCGATGTGGCATTTGTTGTCTCAGGCTCTTGTGAGTAGGTGTGTGGGCGAGTGCCCAGGTGTGTCTGTGCACACACACACACACACACACAGCTCTCCAGCTCCACGCGCAGCAATAAATACAAAAAAAATGAACCCCCCCATCTCAAAATGCAGTTTTGGGAGTCACAACTCCTCTGCTAATGGTACTTCAAATAGTGTGAATCTTTAATTGCCCTCAGAAGGGAAGGTGATGCATTCTAGTATCAAACCTAAGCATATAATTATCTTTAATACTGTCTTTTGATGACCCCTTTGGAATGCAGTAGAAGATACTCCTAATTTTATGGAACCTGATTTGAAATCCCATTGTGGTCATTTTTCTCTAAAATACATTAGATTTTATGATGGAACATACTAAAATGCCACTGAATTCTCTTTTCTCTTGGGGTACAGGACTTGAAGTCTCTGAGAGCAAACTTGGGTCTGTCTCTAGCTAACGTGAGAGAAAACTTTTGCTATAAAAGAGCAATTTTCAAAACTGAGCAGCTGCAGGATCCTCAGTGAAGTTAAAAGTTGTACCCACGTGTGAGCTTCTCCTTTTCCTTTCCATTTGGGCCTGAGTCCTTGTGGTGTCTCTTCTGCTACAATAACACCCACCCCCCACCCCCCAATTCATGTGTAGTGCCATTTGAGAAAGGAAAACCACTTTTGGACGACTGCTGGGGTGATGTCACTCCAGTGGGACGGGGTGGATGAGCTAAATAGCTTGATTCATTTTCTGAGTTCTGTACCATAACAAGACTTTCTGCTACTTTGCCAGTGCTCGAAAACACTGTAATGCATAACCCTTCGAAGGCAACGAGTTGTTGTTTTCAGCAGGAAGCCAGAAATGTGAATTAATCTAACATTCCGTATAGTGGTAGAACTAATTGCTCATTTTCCTATTTCCTTATTGACTCATTCTTTGTATTTGCTTGGACAGTAACAGAAGAGCAAGCAAATGATCAAGGACAGAACCCGTTCTCTCTGCACAGCGTAGTGGATTTAGTGACTTTAGGTTGATTGAAACACTCGATGCAAAATTTTAGACACTGCAGTAGAAGAATCAACTTAGCTATGATTTCTCTCCATTGTACCTAGTAGAGTTTTCCATCTAAAAAGGAAGATTATCCACGTTCTTCCCTTCTGCTCCTAACTCAGTGGTTTGTACAATACCTGCACTTGTTCTTCTCAAACCAAACACTCTTTTCCCAAAGCGTCGATCTTCTTCTTCCTCCAGAACAGTGAAATTTAAAGCACAAATAGGCCTGTCGCTATTTGGGCAGAGAAACTATGTACAATGCAAGATATATAAAATGTGAGTATACACAATGCATATACAGTGTACATTAGGAGATCCATATTATTTGTGTCTATGTGTGTATATATATATATATAGTGTATTGTATAATGTAATAATAGTGTGTGTATATACTATATATGTCCACATACTACGTCTAGTATATAGTTACTTGTGCTGTACAGAAAATGTGTATATACAATGAATATGTAGAATATGCATATATATTCTATATATTAAAGCTTGTGTGTATGTATGTATTCTCTAAACAGAGGTGGATACAGAAGTGGGATTTTTACAGAAAAGCAGATTAGATCATGGCTCTTAGAATTTCAAAGTTCTGGTGAAAGAAAAAAAAAAAAAGGAGAAATGACTACTTCTAATAAATTTGCTTCAAGATTACTTTCATTGGCATGAAAACCTGCGTTCGGTAGCTGTGCCAAGTGCCAGAGAGAATCCTGGCAGAAAGTAGGTGTCATCTGCACTGGATGTGATCTCACATTCTTTGGAGTTTTTAAAGAAAAATGCCGGCTCGGTCTCTGATCTCCTGGTGCGTGATGGTCGTGTCATCTTTCCTTTTTTCCTTAGGCTGAGGCAATGAATTTTCTTCTGCGTTTGCTTGTAGTTTCACTTCTCTCTCTCTCTTTCTTTTTTTTTTTTTTCCCCTTTTTTAAAAATCGTTTTTAAGGAGCTATTCCCTCACACCCCAAAGAGTCGCGCGCTAAGGTGGAAAACATGTTTTTCTTGCTTCATTCCAGTTATATGGGTTGCACATAATTGTCATCTGGATTTCAGCTCTGCTTTTCCTCCATTCCCACCTAAGCTTTTCCTTCAGGAGGAATGACTATCCATCGCATTCTTGGCTGGGAGGAAAGAATGGAGGTGATCTTAACTTTTCTACTCGGGTAAATTATTAGACTCCGCGGTCCGTTGAGCAATCGCAAAGAGTTGAGGAGGTTTTATAGTGGCCCATGTGTGTTTTATACGGAGTCTCGTCACTGCTGGAATGACTCATGGAAAAGCATGAATTGCTCACAGCACCCAGGCACAACAGTTAAAACAGGAAAGAGGGACAATTACTCACGTTGAGCCTCCGCACGCAAACTTTGCATGTAGGGCACAGGTATTGAATTACCCGCATCATCCTTTACAGCCCGGCGCGTTCACCTTCGCCTCCGGTGCTTTCCCGAACTTACAGTCAAACAGGTTTGTTGTAAAACATCCCACTCGTTCTGCAATAAAAACACACGCTCATAAAAGTAGTACTTCTGCCATAATGCTGTATGAAATATTTTTATATTGGCACATTTCTCCTTATGAAATCCCCGCCCTATGAGGATCAGCAGTCCTTAATGTATTTTCTTTCATGTAACGTGCTCTCAAAGTGTAGGAAATTCCAAGCTGTGGCTGACTCTAACCCTTTTTTTTTTTCCTTTTTTTTTTTTTTTTTTAATTCCTGTCTGTAAAATCTGTTGTCAGAAATTTTGTAGCAATTATTTTGTCATCTTACGCTCAAAGATAATGCACTTTTCTTGGATTCTTCTTATAATCCTTTTGGGGTTACTATTTCTTCTTTAGTGTTTCTCCATTGAGAAGAGTATTTATTCTGTAGAACCGAGGCCCAAGGAATTTTTGGTCCAGGTAGAATTGTTGCTTTCCTTGTGCTAGAAGTTGATTTTTTTTCCCTCCCTCTGCATTTCAGTCCTCCCTCTCAGGAACTTCCTTTCTGTTTAACCCTCATTTAGAGTTGGAACTCTCAAAGTGAATTGATCTGTCCTAATAACGAGGTAGTTCAATCATCTTCCTACACCGCTGGAACAGCCGAGTTGTCGTCGTGTGTCAGTCGTTGCACCTCCCTGTTCACAACAAACATCTTCTCTTAGGAAGGAGTTTTGCTTGGAGTACGGTGGAATCATAGAAGATTTATTTTTAGAGTAAATATGTTAACATTATTCATTGACGCACCTGTTTTATCAGTTGATATACTGCTCTTTTTACTTGAAAGTTTTATAAATAAAGGCTAATTTGTTATAAAACGCGATTTTCAGTTGTCCAACTTCTGCCTTCCCCTTTCAGTTGAACTTTCAAAGGAAAACTCCTGGTGACTGTGGTTCCTTCTGCTGTTTCAGTTACAGAGTGCTCTTCTGGTGTCCCTTTTAATACGACGTTCTTTAGTCTGACCTAAAAATGGTGGAAAATCAAAGTGGAAGCTGCATTGTTGACCTAAATTTGACTAATATCTCCAAATATGTACATTATTGTAGTTATATTTATCTTTCAAATATCATAACAAATTGAAAGGTATTTTAATTTTAACCCATCTCATGTGTTTATTGTTTAATATAATAAGAGAAATGTTATTGTTTAATATAATAAATGAAAAGTTACTTTTTGGAGCTCTGCGACTTGGGCAATCTTTCTTTACTCTTTTTTTTGTTTGTTTTTGGTCAATGATTTCACAGGCTTTTGTGTCAGATTTGAGAATCTCCCTTGATTCTCTGCCTCGAGATCTCTTTTTTTCCTTCCAGCTGGTGCCTTCCCCGCACCATTTTCCCTCTGTCCTTCCCTTTTCCCTTCTTCCTCATCCCGGCCACGTTTGGTCCGTACGGATCAGTCAGAAAATCCAACGCCGCACCCTTTCCAAAACAATTTCTGTGCCGTGACGCTCGACGTCCAGGAGATTTGTACTGGGAGGAGCTGGAGCCTCACTGGAGACAAACCCTGTTTGCTGGAAAAACACACCTCGCTCTATCGGTGTTTCACGGTGTTCGCTTTGACTCATGATTCTCCCTTCTGTTTTTGCTGGAAAAACACACCTCGCTCTATCGGAGTTCCACGGTATTCGCTTTGACTCATGATTCTGTCTGTTTGATTTACTCCTGCACACGTCGGCAGGGGGAAGGACAGCTTCCCGAGGCAGCTCTCTCTTGGAATCTCTCTCCTGCAATATTTTTAGGTCGCTGGGATTTGGCTGTTGTGTGTCAGAGACGGGTGCACCCTCCTGCCCACCTTCCCTCACCGAATTTCACTGAATTTCACTGAATTTTTAGAGTTGGAAGGGACCATAGAGATCATCTAGTCCACCCCCCCCTGCTGAAGCAGGATTGCCTAGAGCTTGTCAGAGCATGTTACTCAGGAGCATCCAGGCAGGTCTTGAAAATCTCCAGAGAAGGGGACTCCACACCCTCCCTGGGCAGCCTGTTCCAGGGCTCTGGCACCCTCACTGTGAAGAAGTTTTTCCTCATATTTGAGTGGAACCTCTTATGTTCCAACTTGTGCCCCTTGCCCCTCGTCCTCTCACTGGGAACCACTGAAAAGAGTCTGGTTCCCTCCTCCTTCAACCCACCCTTGAGATCCTTGTCAGCATTGATAAGGTCTCCCCTCAGCCTTCTCTTCTCCAGACTGAAGAGTCCCAGCTCTCTCAGTCTTTCTTCATAAGGGAGATGCTCCAATCCTTGAATCATCTTTGTGATGATTCACCCAATGCTCCTCTCCTCTTACGAAAACACCCCGTGTTTTGCTCCCACTCAAGTTTTTGGAGTCTGACGACGTGACTTTCCCCATTACCTGCCCCATCTCCCTTGTCCATGCCCAATCCGAAGGGATTCCCTGCACGGGGCATCCCAGAGAGGCAGGAAAGCGTAGGCATCCTGTCGGCCAAGAAACATTTTTGAGTGGAAACTCAAACCTGAAGGAGCTTGAACCTCCAAAGCAAATGCAGCCTTTGTTATCTGTACCCAAATGTGACCCAGGATCAGGCTGTGAAACTCTGGGCTCTCGGAGCCCTCTCTGCCCTCCCTGCCATGGAAATTGCCCTCAGATTTCTCCTGGGAGAAAACTGCTGAATCTCTGTCTGCTGTACGTGACTATCACAGACTATCAGTCACTCTGAACGTCTCTTACCCCCTGTCTGCTTAGCGTGTTTTTTAGATGTAATGACAGCAATTAAAACGTTTTATTGGTGCTGATGCGGCGTTTTTTACAAATGTTATGGCCTTCCCTATTGATGAGTTCTCATCAGCTGCAAACGTGATAATACATTTCTGCTGTGTAATTAACTTCCCGTAAGCGGTGGCCTCAATCACAGCTTTTCAGAAGGGAAAGGGACAGAGGAATGAGCCCGATGCTCTCCCTGCCCATCCCTGGCACCCAGGTGTCCCATGTCCCTTGTTTCCCAAATAATATAATGCAAATAATGCTTGCAATATAAAATCATCAATATTTCAAACCCCACCTACGCTGTCGTTGTGCCCGGGCTGTAAAAAAAGCGTGGTTTTGGGGATTTGAGTTTTGGTTTTTTTCTCTGTGTGTGTGTGTGTTGTGTTTTGTGTTTAAGCCTCAGGCTCAGTAGCTTCTCGCCTAATATATTAAATGTCACAGGGGATGTCCAGTGTGATATTCCAGATGTTTCCTGGTGACATAATGATAGGTCAGAACTCCAGGAATGCTCTCAGCTGCAAGAAGTGCAAGAAACCCAAGTCGAAGTGATTTAAAGGGATACCCTTGTCTAATTATAAACCTGCCATAGGTAAGTTCGTCTGCAATGTCTGCGTTGCTGAATTTCTGCCTGCTACAAAGGGCAGAATCCTTTTGATTCACAAAAAGGAATTATAATTGAAGCGGGTAAATAAGCAGGTAACTGATGCTCGCTGTGGTTACAGAGCAAATGAAAACTTCGTGGCTCCTGCTCTGCCTCTGCTTGGAAAGGTGGTTTTCGTAAAGTTAATGCATTGTCATTATACAGAGCAGGGCATATGACTCATTTTTTGTGCCTACATAAAATAGTGTAAGATCAAATAATTGTGGCTGAAAAGCCAGACCTCAAAAGATTAAATCAAACGTGTTCTCTGCCTAACAAGTTTAGGATAAATCCCTGCCTCCTCTGTACATTTCGAGTTTAAAAGGCTTATTTCCTGGCGGAGGCTGTTCCCAATCTCAGCCTTTGTGATGGGGAGTGGGTTTTTAGGGATCAAATAGAGTGGAGCTTTGAGGACTCCCCGGGAATCAATAAGTTGAAATTCCTGGTTACCTCCAGGGCCTGGGAATTGGGTATGGGGACGTGTTACTGCCCTTTGGCTTGTAAATCTCTCTGTTCTCCTCCAGTCCATGGGAAGCACGTTTCTGATGGGCACTGGGTGGGAGCCGGGGTCACGGCAGGGGGGGTCCTGCCACCCCATCAACTCTCAGCAGGATGAATCCTGGGCAGGTGGGACCTGTTCCCCACCCAGCTCAGAGCAGCTCCTCCAAGGACCCGCAGGAATTCTAAGCTTTGTAGATGCCACCAGGTCCGTTTCGGATGTTGGCAAAGGGGATAGCTTTCTCCCTATTAAATTACGTGGGGTTTGGATTGAATTTTCCTCTTTCTGTTTTCCCCCCAACACTGCTAGTTGCCATAGCGATGGCTACATGACTTTGTTGTAGTTGTTTTATTTAAATATAGCAAAAGAAATTGCTGGAGCTTGGGATTCTGGCTTCGAAAATTCAATTTAAGACAAGCCTAACAGCTACTCTGTGTTATAGGTGCACAAAATAGCTTTGGAAACCACGGAGCTTCTACCACAGAAAACCACAGAACCGCACAATCCTATAATTTGAAGAATGGACAAACTTTTTTTGGCACTTCTTGTGGACGGAGGACTGAAGTTTTAGAGCAAGTCGATGTTTTCAGGCAGTTTGTAAATGGCTGTGAGTAACCAAGGACTGGCGTGGGCTGAAACCCCCCCCCCATCCCTGCAGGAGGTGAGCTGTGGCCAAAATTAAAGCTTAGACAACCCCCCTCCAGCATGATCATCTGCAAAACTGCAGATTGAAAAGGAACTTCTAGAAAAGCTGGAGGGTTTCTAGTGCAGCCTTGTACTTTAGGGTTAAAAAAATCATGGAGTCATCCAGCCTTGTACTTTAGGGTTAAAAAAATCATAGAGTCATGAATCATAGAATGGTTCGGGTTGGAAGGGACCTTAAAGATCTTCAAGTCCCACCCCCTGCCCTGGGCAGGGACACCTCCCACCAGCCCAGGTTGCTCCAAGCCCCCTCCAACCTGCCCTTGAACCCCTCCAGGGATGGAGCAGCCACAACTTCTCTGGGCAACCTGGGCCAGTGTCTCACCACCCTCACAGCAAAGTTCTTCCTATTATCTAGGAATGAGTTTGTGATGCTGTCTGCAGGGTGATGGGGGGGGGGGTGTGCTGGGTGGCTTTGCAGGGTGCTGTGTCCCCCTGGAGTGACTGTGACAGCCCTGCAGGGCTGGAAGCTGCTTCAGCATCCTCTGCCTTGGGCTGTCTGCTGAAGATGAGTTCCCATCTAGCGCGGCTTTAACTGCTGCTTCTGAAGGCAGAAGGTGAGAGGAAAAAAAAAAAAAAAACCCAATGTTTTCAGCGGAGCGAAACCCAACGCTCTGAAACCCCGAGTGGAATTAACTGACTTTTAAACAGCAGCTCCTCGGGATGGTGCCTCGAGTTCAGAAGTGTTTGCTAAAACTTTCACTCAGAGCCTTGTGCAGGATTTGCTCGTTTCTGTACTTAAACAGGCTCTATCTAATCTGGCGATCTATCTCACAAGTGTAGTGAGCCCATCACTGTGGTATCTTATAAGAATATGTGTGAAAATCTTGTTTACAACGGACTCTACGTTTCCTCCTATTGGGTTGAACTGCAACTTCTTTTCTTTTTTTTTTTTTTTTTAATGTTGTTTTAGTTTTCCTAAAAGCATCAAAATCAAATGCAGGATAACTGCAGAGGGAAAGGGCAGGTCTTATTCGCCGCCAGCTCCCCAGGAGGCAGCTGGGATTCTGGGTCTTCTGCATTAATTAGAAGAAAATTACTTAAAAGGTGCTTGACCCGATGGTCTGTTATTAGAAGATGTTGCAGGGCGTTAGTGATTTCCTGCTGGGCAGGGGAGGCTTGGGAGATTGGTGGAATCACATTGATGCATCTTTGGATGTACTAATTTAAGGCAATTTAAGAAAAAAAAAAGAAAAATAAAAAGAGAGCTGACAATTACTCATAATAAAATGCGAGAAGAATGAGATCAGCATCTCTTTCTTTCTGCTACAAGATTATCTCGAGATTCAAGAACCTGCAGTTTCCTGTAAAGACCACACAGAAATTATCAAACGCCCTCCCTTAAACAATTAAAGTTGGTCATGAGCTTTTATTACTCTTTTTTGTGCCCCCTCCCCATATCTCTCCACTTTCAGGGGCCTGTATTTATATTTTATATGGGGTTTTTATATTTATAAGTAAGAGGATGGCTTTGCCCTATTTTCAGTTGAGTTGCACCAAATCTAAAAGCTCGGAGGACGCCACCGGCTCGTTTTTACATCATGAAGAGCTCAGAGCAGGAGCAGGTCCCCACCGTTCACCAGGGTTTGGTAACACTGTGTCATGCAGATAAGAAG